AGCCTTCAAAAATATGCTCCCAGAGATATAATCCTGGTAATCAACAACAAAAACAAAATCAGAACAATTTACTATCTTATCTACTCTGGTGCATGAGACAAGTTTATTTTCTGTTCTTTTACTCATAGACTATAAAACCAGAACTCCTCCTCTTTGAGTCTTTGGCAGGCAGTGCTAGTAAGCAACAACTCCAAATCATCAACATGGCAGCTAATGAGAGACAGAGTTCAGAAGCTGTCAGTGTGTAAAATGTGGCAAAATGTGAGTTAATATTAAAGACCTCTCCTACTCTAGATTTGAGAAATCCCTAATTTGTCTGGATGTTTACTACCTGTTTTATTCTAAAATAAAATGTATATTACAAAGTAAACTACTATATGATTAGAACTATTTTTATAACTTAGGGGGAGTTGCCACTTTGTGCCAAATGGAGCCAGAGGAGCCCATGTATTTACATATATTAATATGTCAAGGGGATATTACCTCCTCCTCACTTGAACACATATCTCTGAATGCATGATCCCCTTCACAGACAAATGCCACTACATCTTTTGTCTTTATGGCAGCCTCTGATGTTTTATCATGATTTCACCTGAATGAAAGCTCTAAGGGTAGAAGAGAGCAGTGGTACTCAATGAGGCAATATGGAGACCATACAACACCTTAGGGAACCCTGTTTTGTTTATACGCAGAGATGTATTTTGTTCCACTCTCACTGTACCCTGGTACTAAAGGAAACCCAAATCACCATTTAAAATGTGGCCAATTAGATAAAGCTTTACAAATGTGATGGGTTAAATAATTCTCCCTGCCCAATCGGCAGTGATATCCATATTCTAATCTCTAGAATCTATGAATGTTACCTTGAATGGCAAAACACCTTAAAATATAATTAAGTTAAAGATGCTGAGGTGAAGAGATTATCATGGATTATCTGGGTGGGTCCTATGTAATCTCAAGAGTCCTTACATAAGGGAGGCAGGAGGGTCAGAATGAGGAAAGGGATATGTAAAGATGGAAGCAGAAATCAGAGTGATGTGGGGCCATAAGTGAAGGAATATGGGTAGCCCCTGGAAACTAAATGGAAAGGAAACAGGTTCTTCTTTAGAGCCTCTAAAAGTAACACACCCCGCTCACATTTTAGAGTTCTGCCTTCAGAAAGGTAGGATACTAACTTTGTGGAAATTTGTTATGGTTGCAATAGGACACTGTGGATTATGCAGTTAAGTTCAGGGTACCTGGAAATGGGGTGCTCCTGTAACAAATACTTAAAAATGCGGATATGACTCTGAAATTGGGTAATGGGGAAAGGCTGGGAGAACTGTGAGGACATGATTTTTAAAGGCCTAGATTAGATTGCCTTGAATAAACTGCAGAAGAAATATGGAGTTTATTGATTCAGCTAGTGAAGACACAAGAAAGTAAGGCGAAGTAGAGAAAACCTGTATTGTCTTAGAGGATATCTAAATGATCATATGCAGATTGTTGGTAAGAATATGCATTTTTTTTTAAGACAGAGTCTTGTTCTGTCATGCAGGCTGTAGTGCAGTGGCATAATCTTGGCTCACTGCAACTTCTACCTCCTGGGTTCAAGCAATTCTCCTGCCTCAGCCTTCCAAGTAGCTGGGATTACAGGCATGCACCACAATGCTTGGCTAATTTTTGTATTTTTGGTAGAGACTGGGTTTCACCATGATGGCCAGGCTGGTCTTGAACTCCTGGCCTCAAGTGATCCACCTGCCTCAGCCTCCCAAAGTGCTGGGATTACAGGCGTGAGACACCATACCTAGAATATACAAATTAAAGAAATTGCTGTTGAGGGCTCAGAAGAAAATCAGGAATGTGTTATTAGAAACTGCAAGGATGAGGATCCATGTTATATAACAGTAACATGCTTAGCTGGATTGTATCCTGCAGTTATGTGGAAAGCAGAACTTGTGATAAACTTCAGTAACTAGCTGGAGGGTTCCAAGCAAAGTGAAAGGTATGGACTGGTTTCTTCTTGCTGATTCGTGAAATGTAAGAAAGAGATTTAAGGAAAAATTTGTTAGGCAAAAGGGAATCAGATTTTGATAATCTGGAAACTTCTTGGACCATTAAGACTGCAAAACAGGTGGAAAATTGGATTTACTGTCAGGAAAGGGTGTTCCAGAAAGAAGACCAAGGATGTGGCTGCACAACCTTTTGTTAGTGCCTCAGAGGGATCAGAAGATCCGAATATTCATTCACACAAAGATCTCTTTGAAGAGATTATACATGTGACTTACAGGTTTCCTCAGCCATCTCAGCAGAAGCCAGAAATGAAGATGGGATTACTCAAAAATGATCTGTAGAAAGCTTCCCATCTAATGGAGTGAATCCTGTGACATACACAGGAGGCCCACAAGGTTCTTCAGAATGTTATATGAGCAGAAACACTGCCAGCTTGGACTAAAAAAAGACAGAGAGAGGTCACAGTGAAAGGTGGCTGATGGGCTCTGAAAATTTTACCAGCCATCAACAGGCTGATAAAATTACTAAGCTGCAAACTTGTGCTACACTTTATGAAAAAGGAAAGATGACTTCAAGAGTGTAGCTGAAATGCCAGAGGGCAAAGCTGTACAAGCCATAGATTATTCCTAGGCCTGAAATATCATCTAATGGAGCTGGCCATTTAGATGGAACTTAGATTTCAAAATTGCTTGGACCAGTGATACTTTTTTACTTCAATTTTTTCACCTTTTGGAATTGGAATGTCTATAACTGGCATTTTATAACTGTGCCTAGAGAATAGGCTGATGAAAGTAGTATTTTTCCTGCCTGCAGAGGTGTTTTCTTTTTCTTTTTTCTTTTTCATACCTAATTCCTGCAGAAGAGGTGTTAAAAAAAAAAGGTTAGCATTTGATGAAATTCACTTAACCACTTTGCACTTATCAGATTGAAAGGAGAGAAATAAAAATCTGAGAGTTAAAAGAAAAAATTAGTATTAGAGACTTTATTTTAAAAAAATTTGTTAGAACTTGATGGCTGAAGGCCTGGGTTCAGGTACTTGAAGTTTAGAGGTCAGTGGTAATTTTCAAGGATGTACATTTGTATTTAAGTCTGAATGAATTTATGAAATACCATGAGCAGAGCACTATGCTCTGTACATTTTCCTCTCATCTGGCACTTTCCATCCATATCCCTTATTGTACATAAACCCAACTCATGTTCAAAGGCCAAATAAAGCGCTTGCTAAGTCACTAAATCCTTTGTGACTCTTCTAACCCTCAAAGCCCCATTCTCTAATTGAGCATAATATATATCTTAGAGCACTACACTCTCATGATATTCACAGCAAAAATGCTTCTGTGGGCAATCAAGTTTAATCAACTACATACTATATCAATACAATGAACACTGTCATATTAAAGCCTCTTAAGATAGGCCTCCAATGAAGAACATTGTTTAATTTTGTTCTCTTCAGTGCTTCCCAAATGTCTTCGGCCATCAAGGGCAGAGGCTGCATCTTATACTTATGTATCAAGGGTCCAAAAAATACACAGATTCATGAAAATTCAGTTGACATATATATTGCAATCTAATGACACTATACAACCTACTTACTGTATCGATAAATGAAGCTGTGCTCTGCTAAAGACCAACAGTGGAATATGTATGGGTGTACATTTGCAAACAGATGTTGTCTAATTGGAAGGAGAAAGGCATTATTGACAAAAAGTGAGAAAAAATATCATGATGGCTTCACATGAAATAAATTATATTAAAATGAATTTCATATCAATAAAGTACATTTTACAATGCTTTTTACATGTCTTCCTTCCACATATCAACTTACCAATGGCAGCTTTGCCCCAGATTTGTACATTGAGGTCTGTTTTTCCTTTCGTGGATTTATTTAATATTTGAAGGCTAGTTTTAAATCTGTGTTGTTGCTCATTTTTTTCATCTCCTTCCCAAGGATTCCATTCTTCACTTTCAAAAGTGGACTGTTCTGTTTTAAAAAGAGTAACAGTGTTTACCAGTATGGTATTATTACAGTTGTAGATAAATTCAAATCATTTACATTAAAGTGTTAGTTCTAATTTCATCCTAACTTTAATTTTTCAGAGATAGAGCAACTGAATTTAAACCGGTTATACCCACACAATTAAAAAAGAAAATCAGCAGGTTTTTACTTAACTTTTTTACTCTGCAGGGTCTTAGAAATAAAATTCTAACTTGAGACAGGAAAATTCTCTTCACAAAAACAAAAACCTTTAAAAACAACCAGATAATATGTATAAAGTTACAGGCTTAACTTGCTTGCAGTTATTTATCCATTGTATACAGGTAACCTGGGCATAAAAAACCTGACTTCAGAGTGTAGTGTCCACCAGTCTTAAATACTATTGTGCAAAACTCTGAATAAAGGGAGAGAGAAGCTGAGTCTGATCCTAACACAAGTTAAAACACAGGACAGGGGACCAGAATTTGGAGGTAAAGCCTGCCTTATGTTTACTGCAGAATTAGAGAAGGCTTTGTTTCAACATGGAAACGGATGTCTTAAACCCTGCAGCGATTTGGGGCCTTCCAGGAGTATTCCCGCAAATCTCTGGCATTTGAGACGACGTCTTGGATTTTAACACGTGTTTGAAAGGCTTGCGCGCCTGTCACCCCCTGGGATGGGGAGCGGAAACGGCCTGTGAGATCTGGGTAAGAATAAAGACCATTGTCCAATTCCCAACCCAGGGCTGGCTCGAGAGGCTTTAGGGGACAGAGCGCGTCTCAGGCCCGGCGGGTAATCCCGGACCTGAGAGCAGAGTCCGCGGCTGCGCAGCTCGGCTTCGACCGACCCCGGCTCTGGCCCTCCCGAGCCAGCGCGCGAGGTAAGCTGCCGTCAACGTCCTACCTCGACCGTGCTTCTCCCGTGCGGGGGCCGCCCCCTTCCTGAGGCCCCGCGGGGACCCGGCCGGGGCCTGGCGGCGGCGCCCGAAGAAGACGTGATAGGCAGCGTAGAGGGAGAAGAGGCAGTACAGAGCGATAAGAAACGAGCAGAGCCGCTTCCGCGTCAGCCGCATCCCACTCCGGCTCCTACTCAGGCCGCCACCGCCATAGAGCGGACAGAAAGAGAAACTGCAGCAGCAGGCTGCGGCCCCGGCGTCGTCCGGCGCAGGCCCAGGTCCGTCCCCATCCGCGACTTTTCCGCCCCGCCCCCGGCATAGCCCCGCCCCCGGAACGTCCAGTCCCCGCCCCCACCAGTCGCGGGGCTGCGTGGGAACCTCTCTGACATCGCCGTGTACCCATTGCACCTTTCAACCCTGGCCACTTTTCCCAAGTACATAAAGACTCGGCGAAAAAGAGCACCTGCGGTGGTCCATGAAGGCCATGTGAAGGCATGCATGGTTCGTGACGTTTTTTTGCTAAACATGAAATCCCTAGCGCCTAGGACAGGGCCTGCTACATTGATAGATGAGTGAATATAAACGTCCTTTAAAAAAATTAAGTGATGATGGTCGTTCAACATTGTGAATGTAATTAATGCCACTCACTTGTATGCATAGTAGTTAAAATGTCTAATGCATGTTTTATATACCTTACCGTAATACAAGTATTTTTAAAATTAAGTTTTATTACTAGGATGTTAGTTGAACGCACATAGGCATGCAGTATTTTGTCAAACAGAGGCTGGAAATATGAATGCGTCAATAAACTTTGTGTTCAGCCTTGGGAAGATGGGCTGCTATGTTTTGTCAGTAACATCTGGTATTGCTGCTCAAATTATCCGGCAATCTTGCAACAGTGTGCCCACTAATTAAGGGGACCAATGGTCCCAGTTTGCCGAGGAGTCCCCATTTGGAAGATTTTTAGTGCTAAAATTGGGAAAGTCCTAGGAAATCAGGAAAAGTTGGTTACTCTATCACCGACCCTAAACTATTAGGTCAAACACTTTACCTAATCCCCTCAAACAGTTCCATGCCTCAAAAGACCTGTTTTAAACCATTTTTGCTGAGACTCCCCAAATCCTATAAATACCACCCCCATCCTTCTCCTTCTAAGACTGCCAAGCTTCCATCAAAGTGTGGCCTCCCTTACTGTAGTAGATTTAGTAAATTTAGCTTTCCTTGATTAATGGGCTGTTCTGGTGTCTCCTGGGCAGATGGTAGTTGTTTTATGTACACTGTATTGTTGTTTATCCTATTTTGTTTGTGAAAATGACACTTATTTAAGGATAGGAAGTAATTACCTTATAATTACTACAAAACACCCACTGTATCAATGTTCATTCAGATGCTACTGACTAATGGTTTTACTATTGAGAAATGCATACAAGGTAAAACTAATATGCGGTTGATGTCATCTTGAGTAGGGGAAAGGACCATGAAAATTAAAAATGTGTTTAGGTTTCAAAGGAATCTTCTAATTGATCTAAGTCTGGCAGAGTTCATTTTCCTTTTTTTTGGTGTTTAATGGTTGAGCTACAGCTGGGAGCTACTTTCTGTGTACTGCTCTTATCTCCTCAGGTGGATGGAAACAGAGGGAAACGTTCCTGTGGCAGGGAATGCAGCAGTGTGGAGGAGGAGACAAGTTAAATATTCTCTAGGGGTCGGGCGCGGTGTCTCACGCCTGTAATCCCACTACTTTGGGAAGCCTAGGAGGGTGTATTATGAGGTCACGAGTTCGAGACCAACCTGGCTAACATGATGAAATCCCTATCTCTACTAAAAATATAAAAATTAGCTGGGTGAGGTTGTGGGTGCCTGTAATCCCAGCTACTCAGGAGGCTGTGGCAGGATAATCGCTTGAACCTGGGAGGCAGAGGTTGCAGCGAGCCTAGATCATGCCACTGCTGCACTCTAGCCTGGGCAACAAGGCAAGACTCTGTCTCTAAAAAAAAGAAAAAAAAAATTCCTCTGGGGGGTTGAAGCTCCACATTTAGGGTATCAGACCTGAGAAGGAAAGATGTGAGAGGCAGGATAGAAAGGAAGGAATGCGAGATGAATTAAACTAAAGCAAGGCTAAAATCTTTACTTGGTAAAATTTTCTACCTTGTGTGCAGAGGGAAGAATTATTAATCGACAAGATGTTAAGAAAATAGCACTAATGTCCTGATGCCTTCTTGTAGCTGACTGTGTGAAGTAGTACACGCTTATTCTTAGAAGTCTCCAATACAAATTTCTTGTGATACCTGGTCAAAATTCTCTTCTTAGTTTATCAAGTTTCCAGTAATACTTAAGAAGTGTATTAACTACTTTGAGAGATTTTTCTCTTCTTAGTTTATCAAGTTTCCAGGAATACTCTCAAGAAGTGTATTAACTACTTTGAGAGATTTTTCACAGCTTGGCCAAGCTTTTGTGTTAAACTCTTTGTAAGATACTTCTAGCAGGGCTTGGCCATTCAAGTTATAAATTACAGCTGTATCAAAGTTGTAAGAATCAGTCCTAAGAAGATACATTTTTCTCTTTCATGTAAGCGCAATGCTCACAGAAATAAGTAATAAAACTTTACAGAAATGTATTGGCATTGGGAAATAGTAAGCAAATCATAACGCCTTCTTTAAACAATCAACCAAACAGCATACTAATAACCAACCAAACAAAACTAGGATATGAAGGTTAAAGACAGAACAGCCCTGAGGTGAAATTGAAGCAGATGAGCGGAAGCAGATTCTGTGCAAACATTACTTCCTCTGTGAATCTTTCTCTCATGTATTTCCCCTTCCCCACATTCTCTAAACCCTATGCACAATATCATCATTGGTGTAACATTTCATTACCAATTTTTTGTTTATGTATTACATGTGATCTACTGGTTTTAACCAGTGTGATAGTTGTCTATAAACTCTGTTCTACTAAAAGCCCTTATGAGTGGGTACCATCACAGTGATAGCCTCAGAGAGTATTCAAGACAGTTTGAACCCATGCGACTCCATCTCTCAGTTACCACTGAATTTTTTGTTTGCATTTGCTGTTTTTCTAATGATATTATAATCAACTGGGTGTAGGAGGCTACTGAAGGGCCCTAGGAGTGATATGAATGTGTTTCAGCCTTTCAAAAATTAAAAAAAAAATTTTGTGAGTACATCATAATTGTGTATGTATTTATGGGTTACATGAGATATTTTGATACAGGCATGTAATGTATAATAATCACATCAGAGTAAATAGGGTATACATACACTGAAGCATTCATCCTTTGTGTTACAAACAAGGCAATTATACTCTTTGAATTATTTTTAAATGTACAATTAAATTATTTTGTACTATAGTCACCCTCTTGTACTAGCAAATACTAGGTCTTATTCATTCTTTTTTACTATTTTTTGTATGCATTAACTATCCCCACTCTCTGCCCCACCTGCCCCTACTCCCCTTCACAGCCTCTAGTAACCATCCTTCTACTTTCTTTCTCCATGAGTTCAATTGTTTGTTTGAGTTATTAATTTTTTTATTTAAAAGTAGAGACAGGCTCTCATTGTGTTTCTCATGTAGGTCTGGAGCTCCTGGGCTCAACTGATCCACTTGCTTTGGGCTTCCAAAGAGCTGGGATTACAGGTGTGAGCCGCTGTGCCTCGCCTCAATTTCTTTAATTTTTAGCTCCCACAAATAAGTGAGACCATGCAAAGTTTGTCTTTCTTTACCTGGATTACTTAACATAATGACCTTCATTTTCATCCATGTTGTTACAAAATGCAAGCTCTCATTCTTTTTTATGGCAGAATAGCACTCTGTGAAATATCTACCACATTTTCTTTATCCATGCATCTGTTGATGAACATTTAGGTTGCTTCCACATCTTGGGTATTGTGAATAGTGATGCAATAACCATGGGAGTGCCGATATCTCTTCAATATACTGATTTCCTTTCTTTAGAGTATGTACCTAGGAGTGGGATTGCTGGCTCTCGTGGTAGCTCTGCTTTTAATTTTTCAGGAACCTCCTTACTAATTTACATTTTCACCAACAGTGTCCTAGGGTTCCCTTTTCTCCACATCTTTGCCAGCATTTGTTATTGCCCTCTCAAAGTTTCTTAGTCTCATTTAGTGAAGTCTTTCTGTGCTTTGTGCTCAGTTCATTTTATAGTTGTAAGAATGTAAGTATTTGATTTATTTCCTCTCCTAATTTTGGCTTTTCATCCCAAGGTCTTGATGGCTTATACATATTCCTGTGAATGTGCTCAACTTTATGCATTTATATTTCTATTAACTCAACAGATTTATTCTTTTCCAACAGAATAGACACAGCTGATTGCTAATGCACCTTCAATAATCTGAGATTCATCTTTATTTTTATAAACTTTGCTGTGTTTATTTTATATTAGGATTATTGCTAATTGTCTCAAATGGGTTGGATAGCATTTCAGTCCTTGAACAGTTTATATAGCATGGAAAAGACTATGTCTGTGAACGTCTGATTGCACTTTTCAGTAATATTCATTGGCCCTAGAACTATTTTTGGAAATAGTTCTTTAATAACATTCATTTGGTTTATTCTTGCTTGTAATATTAATACTTCTTAAGTCTGTTGTGGCAATATTTATTTTCCAAGAAACCAGTTTACCTGATTAGGATTAAAAAGTATTCAGACATATCTTTTTTTTCATTCCTTATTTTTTTTTGAGTTTTTCTTTTTTATATTGATCACATTTTTATTTGATTGTATTATTTTATTATTGGTTTTTGCCCTCTCCTTCCGACCGTCTTTGGATTTATTTATCATTTTGTTTATGTGGCAATTACTAGATTGTGCATTATTTTTCATTATTTTCTTTTTTCTGTTTTCCTCTTTGTTTGATCTTTTCTCTAACTTTCTTCATTAGACAGTTGGTTTAATATTTTATCATAGGCCGGGTGCGGTGGCTCATGCCTATAATCTCAGCACTTTGGGAGGCCGAGGCGGGTGGATCATGAGGTCAAGAGATCGAGACCATCCTGGTCAACAAGGTGAAACCCCATCTCTATTAAAAATACAAAAATTAGCTGGGCATGGTGGTGCACGCCTGTAGTCCCAGCTACTCGGGAGGCTGAGGCAGGAGAATTGCTTGAACCCAGAAGGCAGAGGTTGTGGTGAGCCGAGATCATGCCATTGCACTCCAGTCTGGGTAACAACAGCAAAACTCCATCTCAAACAAACAAACAAAAACCATTTTATCATTTCTTCTTGATAATGAAATCATATAAAC